GTGGCGCACCTGGCGCGACTAGAACATGCGGCACACATAGCGCACGTGGATCACGTGCCGCATCTGGCACAGCAGGCGTGCTTGGCGCGCGTGGCGCGCCTGGCACGCCTGGCGCACCTCGTCCCAACTTTGCGCACATGGGGTCTGTTTTGGTTCGCACTGCGTAGCTGTCCATCCAAAAACTACCGCTGAACACGTTGCGGCTCGGGTGGGTGCTACTGATGTGGTATTGGGAGAGCGGGTGGGAGTGAGCGAGACGGCTTGCGCGGGGAGGGCGTCTTGACCCCTCCCACTGCCCCCTCCCCCTGTGTCTCGGAGGGGGGGTGGGGCGCGACACATTCGAGCGTCCAAGACGGCCTTGGCGAGAAGGCGAGTTTGCGCACACTTCGGCATCTGGGGTGGGAACCTGATGGGGCCCCTTCTTTGATCGATCTTCGCCAAGATGGCTCCAAGATGGCCGCCAATGGGCTCCCAAGAGCGCCCCAAGAAGGCCCTAAAAGGTGCCCAGCAGGCCCCAAGAGGTCCCCAAGAGATCCTCAAGAGGCTCCTAACCGACCCCGGAGAGGCCTCAAGATGCTCCCCTGAGGCACCCAAGGCGCTCCGAAAGACCCCCGAGGCAGCCAAGACGTCCCCGGAGGACTCCAAGAAGCTCTCCAGGGACATCCGAAGAGACTTCGAGAGGCATCCAAGAGGCCTCTGGCCATTCTGCTCGTCCTCCTCATCCTCCTTCTCCTCCTTCTTTTCCTCATCCGCCTATTCATCCTCGTCTCTCTTCGTCATGAAAATATATACTACTCTCCTCTCTCCTCTGGTGGCGTCCGGGAAATGGCTGGCCCCCCTACGCGCACTGCTTTTTTTTACATGGGATTCTCAGGAAACTGGTTTTCCCTTTGGTTTTCTTTCGAAACGCTGCCATCGCTGCAGCGCTGGCCTCATTTTTGAGCTAACGCTGGTTCCGAATCGTGCTCCCGCTGCAGCGCTGGCCTTATTTCCGCGCTTCCGCTCGTTCCGAATCGTGCTCCCGCTGCAGCGCTGGCGTCATTATTTCCAGTGCCATGTCACGGCATGGTGTTCGCTCCTTCCAGATAGGCCCATAAATCTAGAAAATGCCCACCCGAAAAAAACATCGGAAGTGATTCCACGTTCGCTGTCGATTCGTTGATTATTTGAGCCGCAGAAGCCCACCCCCACTTTGGGGCGTCGCCACGCCATGCTATGTCAGGCTACGCGTCCTCATTTCCGCGCTTCCGCGCTTGGCCTTCTTTCAAAATGCTGCCATCGCTGAAGCGCTGGCCTCATTTTCGAGCTAACGCTGGTTCCGAATCGTGCTCCCGCCGCAGCGCTGGCTGCATTTCCGCGCTTCCCGTCGTTCCGAATCGTGATCCCGCTGCAGCGCTGGCGCCATTATTTCCAGCGCCATGCCATGGCATGGTGTTCGGTCCTTCCAAATAGGCCCCAAACTCTAAAAATAACCTCCCAAAAAACCATCGGAAGTGATTCCATATTCGGTGTCGATGCGTTGATTTGTTGGGCCGCAGCAGACCCGCCACGCCATGCTATGTCATGCTACGCGTTAATCTTAAACGCCATGCCACGACATCCGGTTGTGCGAATACGGGGGAGATCTGCGCAATGATAAGGGATGGGAGGGAGGGGTAGGACGTCAGATATGACGCGAGCGCACCTGGCTTGCCTCCTCTCCCTCCCCCTCCCCCTACTCCTCTGCCTCCTCCGTCCTCCCCCTCTTGGGGTATGACGTCTTGACCAGCCTTTCATCCCACTGCATGCTTCTCCACGCCCCTGATCAGGGCAACTCATCTGGTTGTCGTGTCTGGATGGGCTGGTGGGGCCACGCCAAGCGTTTAGAATTAGGTCGGGCCTGTCCCCCTACAAGGGATTTTGGGCGACATAACGAATACTTACAACATGCTCCAAAAATACTTGAAAATAGGCACTAAAATCGTCCCCAAAGCTATTGTCTTAACTATGTTTGAGTATCCCTCCTGTTGAGGGACAGGCCCGACTTAAGTCTAGAAGTGGAGAAATCGCGGCGAATCACCACTGGGGCCGTAGACCCCATCTTTCTGCTGCATCTCCCGAGTCGCGCTGATCTGTGATGGTCCCGGGTCCCGAAACTCGGGCCGGGCGAAAGGGGGGGATAGCATCTGAAGGGGGGGGGGGAGAGAATCAGCTCAAGTAATTAGCTGACTTTCCCGGCGCCTCCTCTGGCGGCTATGTATCGAGGAACGGGCCCCTCGGTGGGGCCGAAACCGGCTGCATGAAGCAGATGTCGTACCCCCCCCCTTTTCCCAATCCCCCCCGTTTCGTCCGGCCCGAGAAACCCAACGGAACCGCCCACTGCGCACAACGTGCGGGGCCCAAGCATCTCAGGCCCTCTCCCCCTCCCGAGCACGCCCTCGCCCCCCGCGCGGCACCAGGGGCTGGTCCGACTTCAGGCTGATGGTCCTCCTCTCTGGCGGCACGGCGCCGGCGTCGCAGC